TATACATTCTTGCCTATTGCCATGTGACTTGCAGTTTTTCCTTAGGGAGGGGTACACTTCCCCATCATTCACATTGGACTTGGCCATGTCGTTGGCCAAAGGAACACGGACAGAAGCAACATGATCCATATCCAAATAGAAGCTCTAAGAACCATTGCAGGGATTGGCATTTCTTTTCCCTTTTGGGCTGTCCTTCAGCTAGAACCTGGAATGTGGAAGTCAGTGATATTACAGCAGACCTGCACTTGACTCCCAGCCACATGTAACATAAATGAGGAAAAGCCTTTGCTGTAAAAAGTCACTGAGATTTGGGACTCATTGTTACCACAGCAAAGCTAAGGATTCAGTCTCTTGTGCTTTCTCACATTCTCAATGCCTTCTTATACTTTTTTAAAATTGATTTTTGTAAAATTCGTAAGTTTTTTTTGTGCAGAGAGTGGCTTGGCAATTCATGTATTCATCTGTCATTTCTCTACTTTTGTGGCAGAGATAATTTGAAATGCACATGTACAAAATTCCTCCATTTCATTTTATCTTTCAGTGTCCTTCTTATGTTATTTCCATGTGACAATATTCCACATTCTAGATCTTCATGTTCTTAGTCTCTTTCACTGCCAACATCCAATTACTCCAGTTGAGGATTGTGGGTGACCGGAGTCTGTCCCAGCAGCTCAGGGTGGAAGGCGAGAACCAGGACACCATTCCATCACAGGGCGCACTTACACACACCCACACTCTCGCAGACTGCCTCAATGCAGACACAGTGATTCACCTAATATGTGCATCTCTGAGAGGTGGGAGGAAACCTACCAGACAGGGGGATAGCATGCAGATTCCACACAGACAGTGGTCCTGGCAGGACTTGATTTTTGTTCCTCATCAACATAATAATGAAACAACGTTGAATGAAATGACATTTACTCAAGGACCTGCTGTACTATTCTTTCTGTTGATTTCCATGTTTCCTCACTTGTTTAAATATACTAAGCATCCTCATTGTATATTCGCTGAGTTTGTATCAGTATCTGAAATCTTTGTGGGTCTGGCTTAGCAGCTTATAACTTTTGCTGGCTCTTGCTCATGATACTTTTTTGTGATCGCTAGCAGATAACCGTGAAGTTTTGTTTGACTACCCAGACGGTGTGATTTGGGGTCGCAAATTTGTATGAGAATCGTTTTGAGGTTGTAACTTCTCAGGAAAGACAGATTTTGCTCCTTCAGTTGGAAACCAAAACCAAAACCAAAACCAAAATAGTTTCCTTATAGTCCCTGGTGGGTATGTGTATGTCATAACTTGAGTAACGACCCCAAAGATAACAGGTCCGAATCCCTGGCACCTGTGAATGTAATCTTATTTGGCAGAAAGATCTTTACAAATGTGGTGAAGAATCTTGAGATGGGTAGATGATCCTGGATTATCCTGGTGAGCCTTAAATACAGTCACAAGTGCCCTTATAAGAGAAGCAGAGAGATATTATATGCTGCAGAAGAGGAGAAATTGATGTGAACATGAAAGCAGAGACTGGATTGATGAGGCCATAAGCTAAGGAATGCTGATATTTCAAGAGCAAGGAATGAATTCTCCTCAGAGCCTCCAGAAGCCTCTAACACCTTGATTTGGCCTGATTTTAGATGTCTGGAGTTCAAAACTGTGAAAAAATAAATTTCTGCTGTTTTAAGTCACCAAGATTGTGAAAACGTGTTATAACAGCTAAACTAACACAGGGATGAAATGGGGATTCATTTATTCTAGTTCACCCTTATACAGAGAGGGCAGCTCTCTGGGATTTAAGATTTATGGGGAGTTCCCCTTTAGATCATACATTGGGTGATCCCTGGGTGCTGTCTTCTGTCCCCTGAGTGCTGTAAGGGGCTAAAATCTCACAATGTTTACCAAATACCCTCAAGGTGAAAGGTAGCACTTGGGCAATTTCTTTAGCTTTGACCTCAGAATGTTCCTTCCTTGCTTGCTGGAAAATAGTGGAAAGTTATTTTTGGCACATTACATCTAGCATTTTAGTTTGTTTCATCTGAGGGTCAGGATGGTTGCCTGGTTGGCCACGTTGTGGGAAATGGAAGTCTGTGCATTTCTGTTACTATTGTTGCTAGAGTCTTGTAGGCTAGGGTGACAAAGGCTTCTCCTTGTCATTTATCATACCGGAGACTAGAGCAGATTTTATCATTGAAGAGTTGGTCAAGAGAGAAATGAGTTATCAGGAAGATGGTAAGTATGTAGAAGAACTTGTTTTCAGCAGCAAGCAAATACCTACAGTGGTGGGACTGGGTGTGTATGTTCACAGAGTGGAGGTGAGCAGATTATGCTGTGAGTAGGGTCCTGGGTTGCTGGGCTGCCGCTGGCACCACCCAACACAAACTCTTGGGGTTTTCCCAGCAAGGTGGGGCAGCAGCTTAAATGTCTGCTCCTGGCCTATGTGGGTCTGTGCCTCTTTCTTCTACCCCCAGGATGCCTTCCATGCTTGGTAGGAAGGCTGTTTGCTCCGGCCTCCAGTCAGCCAGTCTTGGCTTCAACTGTTCTCCCTGAAGACCTTCAGGATACCCACTATCTGTCAATCCTCTCTCTCTGCTGGAACCGGACTGGGAGAGCCACATCCAGTTCATTTCACTCTCTGAGGCCAGCTCTGGGTTTTAGTTGCAAGCATCAGAAACGGACTCTGGAGCGCCGATATGAGCAAATAAAGGTTTCTTAATATGATAATGGAGAACTCACAGAATCTCTGGAATGGTTGGAGAAACAGCTTCCAGGGGACACAGGCAGAACCTGGTCTGGTGGGGAGGTCACTGCTGCAGTTGCTGGACCCTCCTGCCCTCTCTCCACCCTGGCCACTGGACGCTTCTACCAGGACCTCTGCCTCTGTTCCTGGCCCCAACCACCCCCTACCCCAGTCTTCCACCACAGTTTGGGACAGAGCCCGGGTTGGGTGCCAATAGCCTAGCAAGGGTGGGGGGGCAGCTGGGAAAAGGAACATGTGGCACTTTGAGCCTATCAAAAGGCAGAAGGGTTCACAATTGTAAGGCAGGAGATTCCTCAAACACACAAAGCAGATTCGAATGCAAGGCGGGCCCAAAGAATGCCAGTGTCCACACAGGGAGAAGATTAAGAATGGGAGAGGCTGCTGGGTATGCAGTGGCTCATGCCTGTAATCCTAGCACTTTGGGAGGTGGAGGTGAGAGGATTGCCTGAGACTATGGGTTCGAGACCAACCCTGGGCAACTTGGTGAGACCTTATCTCTACAATAAATAAAAAAATTAGCTGTGGTTCCAGCTACTTGGAAGGCTGAGGCAGAAGGATTGCCTGAGCCCAGCAGGTCAAGGCTGTGGACTGTGAGTGTGCCATTGTACTTCAGCCTGGGCCATAGAGTGAGACTCTGACTCAAAAAAAAAAAAAAAAAAAAGGGAGAGTCCCTTCTCTCCCCTGCCAGATGCACCCACAGGGGGTAGGACTGGACAATTCTTCCATCAACCTCACATTTGGGAAAGAGAATTAATTTTTCTATCATAAGACTAGCCCCAGATCAGCATGAGACATTGAACGATGAGATGAAGTAAGGAAGTCCAAAAAACTTCATATCTACTTTCCCTATGATGCTTTCTTTTATTTACTGTCTATTTTTTTATTTGTACAGGGTCTCACTATGTTGTCCAGGCTGTTCTCAAAATCCTGGGCTCAAGCAAGTCTCCTGCCTTGGCCTCCCAAAGTACTGGGATTACAGGTGTAAGCCACCACACCTAACTGATGCTTTCTTTTTAAAATGTCAAATTACCTAGCAGGAGGATCGCGTGAGTCCAGTCGTTCATGACCAGCCTGGGCAACATAGTGAGACCCTCGTCTCTACAAAATAAAAAATATAAAAAATAAAAAAGTCAAGTGATTTCTAAGAGTGTTTTTTCCTATTTTGGGGCCTTTGCTGGATCTGTTTTATTGGGCAATCTGGCATAGAGGAAAGGACATTGTTGCTGGCCCAAATTTGTGGAGGTAAAGTCGTATCCGTGAGATGCTGGTGCTCATGCAGCTGCCATTTACTGAGTGTTTGTTATGTGCTGGCACCAGGCTAATATAGTATCACTGATTCTTAGGCCTTTTCACCCTCATTTACAGATGAAGAAATGGACTGGTCACAGGTGAGTAAGAGTCCAAGTAGGAATTCAAAGTTCAGGGCCCTTCTGTTCTTTGAAGCTTCCTAGTCTGGGATCTTCTAGATGACTTTAAGACCTCACACACAGCACGGTGCCTGGTCACCAGCAGGAAGGACTAGGAAATACCAGTGAATGAATGGACATCAGCATGGCAATATTGAGCCTTGCTCAATATCTACCAGTGACACACGTGGAATATCATTGACACATACCAATCAATAGAGATGAAAACTTTAATAGAGCACCAGCAGTATATACAACATATGTAGGTAGAAAAATAAATCCCAAGTATCCCAGAGAATCCAATAAGTCTGCATTCTGTGCAGCATTGTGTTTGACCACTCTTGAGTTGTTTTTCAGCTCCAACTGGTAGAATATTACAGCAACTCCATTTTTATTCCTCATTTAAAATATTTCCATTTCTTACAATTAAAATGTGGTTCTATTTTAGTGAGGATAATGAGCTGAAGATTACACTCTCCATGGCCAACCTTAAAAAAAAATCATTACAATCATTAAATCAAGCTGGGCATGGTGGCTTATGCCTGTAATCCTAGCACTTTGGGAGGCTGAGGCGAGAGGACTGCCTGAGCCCAGGGGTTCAAGACCAGCCTAGGTAACTTGGCGAAACCTCGTCTCTATAATAAATAAAAAAAAAAAAAAAAAAAAAAAGAAAATGAGCCGAGCATGGTGGCGCACGCCTGTAGTTCCAGCTACTTGGAAGGCTGAGGTGGAAGAATTGCCTGAGCCCAGAAAGTTGAGGCTGCAGTGGCCATGAGCATGCCATTGTACTCCAGACAGAGTGACAGAGTGAGACTCTGACTCAAAAAAAAAAAAAAAAAAAAAAAAATCATGAAATCATTATAAAGCAGCAAGTTCCCAAGATGGAGTATTTTCACTAAGTGAGCCTTTAAAATCCAGCTCTATGGTTGTGTAGACAAGTCCAGGGTCTGACAAGTTCAAAGGTCTGAGGTTTGCTTGGGGGTCTTGGACACCTTTGTCATTCTGATCACCCACTGAGGCAGAGGTGAGAAAATAGTAGTCACAGTCCCCAGAAGAATGGTTCCCTCCTCAGGGACTAGCTTTGGGGTTCCTGCCCAGACAGGGTCCCACAGCTGTGGCTGTCACTGGGATTCTGCTTGCTGTTTTCAGAGTCTTCTGCAATGACACTTAATTTGTCAAAAACTTCATTCTCATCAGAGAGTGGGAAGAAGAACAGAAGTTTGCTGTGATGAGGGTGGCCCAAAAACTGCAGGAGAACAAAAGGACAGTTAATGACCAAGTTTTCACATTTCTTTCTCTGGGTTTATAGGAATTTTTTTTTTTTTTGAGTTGGTGTCTCACTCTGTCGCCGAGGCTGGAATGCAGTGGTATGCTCATGGCCACCACAGCCAAGACCTGCTGGGCTCAGGCAATCCTTCCTCCTCAGCTTTCCAAGTAGCTGGAACTACAGGTGCACACTACCATGCCTGGCTGATTATTTATTTATTTACTGTAGAGATGAGGTCTTGCCAAGTTGCCCAGGCTGGTCTCAAGTCCCTGGGCTCAGGCAATCCTCTTGCTTTGGACTTCCAAAGTGCTGGGATTACAGGCTTGAGCCACCGTGCCTGGTCAGGATTTTTTTAAACAGAATTCTTGGCTAGAAAATGCTATTATTAAAATGTGACAATAGCTGGGCGCAGTGGCTCATGTCTGTAATCCTAGCACTTTGAGAGGCCAAGGTAGGAGGATTGCTTGAGACCAGGAGTTGGAGACCAGCTCGGGCAACATGGCAAGACCTTGTCTCTACAAAAAAATATTTAAAAAATGAGCAAGGCGCATGCCTGTAGTCCCAGCTACTTGAAGGCTGAGGTGGAAGGATCACCTGAGCCCAGGAGGTTGAGGCTGTGGTGGCTGGGAGCGTGCCACTGCCTTCCAGCCTGGGTGACAGAGTGAGACTCCAATTAAAAAAAAAAAAAAAAAGTGAAAATAGGCCAGGTGCAGTGGCTCATGCCTATAATCCCAGCATGTTGGGCCAAGGTGCGATTGCTTGAGCCTAGAAGTTGAAGACTAGCCTAGGCAATATAGTAAGACCTTGTTTCTACCAAAAAAAAAAAAGTTGCAATAACAGTATGTCAGTTCCTCAAAAAAATTAAAGTCGTGTTCCATATGATCCGGCAATTTCACTCTTATGTAAATACCCAAAAGAACTGAAAGCAGGGTGTTGAAGAGATGTGTGTATACCCATGTCCAAAGCAGCATGATTCACAATAGCCAAAAGGTTGGAAGCAACCCAAGTGTCCATCCACAAACAGATGGATAAGTGAAATGTGGCCTATACACACAACACAATCTTATTCAACCTTAAAAAAGAAGGACACTCTGACACATGCTACAACATGGATGGACTTTAAAGACAAGCCAGACATGCAAAGACAAATACTGTATGATTTTGCTTCTATGAGGGACCCAGAATGGTCAAGTTCATTGAAACAAAAAGTAGGAATGGTGGTTGCCAGGGTCTGGGAGAAAGAGGAACAGGGAATTATTGTTTAATGGGAGGAGAGTTTCAGTTTTGGAAGATGAAAAAAGTTCTGAAAATGGACAGTGGTGATGGTTACACAACCATGTGAATGTACTCAGTGCTGCTGAATTGTACTCTTAAAATGATTAAGATGATAAACTTTATGTAATGTGCATTGTGCCACAATTTTAAAATTGTGATGCCGGGTATGGTGGCTCATGCCTATAATCTTAGCACTTTGGGAGACAAAGGTGGGAGGATTGCTTGAGTTCAGGAGTTTGAGACCAGCCTGGGCAACATAGGAAGACCTCGTCTCTACCAAAAATAAAAAATTAGTCAGGCATGGTGGTGCATGCCTGTAGTCCCAGCTACCTGGAAGGCTGAGGAGGAAGGATTGCCTGAGCCCAACAGGTTGAGGCTGCGGTGGCCGTGATTGTGCCACTGCACTCCAGCTTGGGCGACAGACTGAGACTCCGACTCAAAAGAAAAAAAAAAGATATGTGACAATAAATATGCAACTCATTTGCCAAGTGATCCAGGTCACCCTCTAACAGTTCCCTCTTTTAAGCCAGAAGGGAGATTTTTTTTTAGTCTGATCTTCATGCAGTGGGGCTGACACAGCTTTGATGCCGTTTCCTTTAGGAAGCAAGCCCTGGATAAATATGTGTTGGAATAACAAGTAGAATCTCCCATGAGACCTCGGGCTGAGTTAGGGGCCCTCTTTGATGCTCCCCAGCATCCTGCATGTCCCTCCATTCCAGCCTTTAGACCTGCACACCCAGTATAGCAGCCACGAGCCACATGGGCTACTGACCACTTGAAAAATGACTAAGTTCAAGTTGATACATGCTCAAGTGTAAAATAGACAACAGATTTCAAAGACTTTGTATGAGAAAAATGTAAAATATCTCAATTATTCAGAAAATACATGCTGAAATGATGGTGTTTTAGATATTCTGGGTTATGTATTATTAATGTTAATTTCACCTGTTTCTTTTGACTCTTCATACATGTGGCAACAGCTGGGCACGGCAGCTCATGCTTATAATACCCGTATTTAGAGGAGCTGAGGCAGAAAGATCACTTGAGACCTGAAGTTTGAGATCAGCCTGGGCAACAGAGCAAGATCCTGTCTCTTTTTAAAAAAATAATTTAAAAAAATTAAAAGATGTGGCTACTAGCAAATTTGAAATATATGTGGCTTGTGATATGTTCTGTCGGGCAGTGGTGCTGCCTTTGCACACTTGATGGACACCAACTCTTCCCAGTTTGTCTCTCCTGTAGACAGGGCCAATTAAGGGCAGGGACCACAGGCCAATCATCTTTCTCTCAGGTGCTTTGAATAATGAAGATGCCCCTATACAAAGAGGTATCCAAAAATTCTGGAGTTATCTTTGGAGGGTGGGCCCTTTGCAGTACACTTGGAATTTGTTCCTCTGAATCAAACAGTCAACCAAAGTTTTTACCTGTAGTTTTGAGAAGACTGTGTCATGAATTGTGGAAGAAACATCCCAAGTTGTGGCAAACAGATGACTGGCTTTTTTCTCCATGACAACGTAGCTGCCCACACTGTGCGGAGTATTGAGCAGTTTTTGACCAAAAATGGCATGTCCCCCGTGCCCCACCCTCCCTATTCACCTGATCTTGCCCCAGTGACTTTTTTTCGTTTGTTTCCCTGGATGAAAAAAGTCCTCAAAGGGAAACGTTTTACTGATATGGAAGAGGTGAAACAAAAAACAGCAGCGGCACTGAAAGGCATCAAAATGGATGAGTTAAAAAAATGTTTTGAGCAGCAAAAATAGCGTCTTGATAGGTGTATTGCATCACATGGAGAGTACTTTGAAGGTGACTGAAGTTTAGACATGTAAGAATAAATACACAATTTTTATAAATAAATTCTGGTTTTGGGGGGTTCCCCTTTGTGTTTCCTGAAACCTCTGCTGGCTTCTCATTCTCCAGTGCTTAATCTTCACCATGAGATGAAGAAGCATGCTTCAAAGCTTTGTATTTTGACCTCTTCCATCCAAATGGAGCCCCTCTCAGCATTATTTCCACACGCTGCCTTTTGATATGACTTAATGGAAGTGAGTGCGGCCGCACTACCTACTGGTGTGGACCCGCTGAGATCTGTCCTCATGGGTTTTGAGCAGCTGATGGGGGTAGGCGGGGGGAGCAAGTGAAACAATGTCCAGATCTCCGCTGGGCCAAAGAAGCTGGGAGAAGGGAAACCTCCCTAAACCTCAGATCCAGTGGATTTATGAGACTGGGCTGGAAGCTACCCTGGGTTCTCTTGGGAGTGGGGAAGAGGAGAAATCAAAGAATGATGCATACAATTTCAAGAAAGCAAATATCAGGCTGTGTCTCCTGCTTAGACACACACACACAGGCACACGTACACACGCATGCATACACACACATCATGGTGGCTGGCTCAGTAGATCACTGCTGGATAAATTTCCCTATTGTTTTTTCAACTCAAAGTCTCCATTCCTAGCAAATCTCCCTAAATTTGAAATGATTCTCTGGGCCGTGGGTGAAATATTCTATATGTTCTGAGTCAAACTGAAGAATTTGGTGAGGTAAGGACCCCAAACTGCTCCGTAGTTGCCTAGCACTTCTTTCGTCTTTGCTCCTCTGGCCCTCCTCCAGCGCCCCCAGCCCTCGCCTCTGGTTTCCCAGACACTGGCAGGCCTGCAGAGTCTTCTAGCCTTGGAGGCCAGAGCTCCTGCCAACAGGCTCCTTTACTGTTTGCTCCATCTGTCCTTTCCTTCTGACTAGTCTCTTTGATGGCAAAGCCAAGAGGCAAAAGCAGCAGGGGAATAGTTCTGATTCCTCTTGATTCTCAGTTAACAAAACATCTACCCAGAGGAAAGACCTGCCCCTCTTTGTTCTCCCTGCTGCAGCTGTGACTTCCTAAAGCTTACAGAGGATTCTTAGCTCATGCTAGAGGATTCTTAGTTCCTTCTGGTGCTGCAATCTTGCCGGCACTCTTTTTAGAAGGTTCTAGCTGCTCTGAAATGCTGACCTATGGTTCCGGGCCCCACTTTCTATCCACAGTGGATGCTGGGTTGTGTTGTCCAGATCTGCTTGTTCCCCTAGTTTCTAGGAGTACTGTCTGGCAGCTGAAATGGCTCAAGGCGAAGTCCCTTTCTAGGAAGTGCCCTTCACAGAAGGCAGCTGCCTCGGTCAAGGCTCTGTGTTCTTCCCAGAGGCAGCCTGCATCAACTGACTGGTTGGTGTGGGAACAAAGGCTTGATATTAGCCATCACAACAAGATGTTAACAGGACTGGAAGTGCTGGAAGTGGCAAGGCGTTGGTAAGGCACATGCACTGTGTAGGGTGGAAAACTCACCTGATGAAGATCCAAGGGCTTGCCACTTCCAGTAGAGTTCGAGGGGTCCCATGGAGTGGGTCATGCCCGGGACATCCTCTTGCAAGGATCAATTACTGTATCCTGCCCCTCCCCACACTAGGAAGGATGCTCTATGCTTCATAGGCCTTCTTGAGTTCTGAAGCAACATGCTCCTCACATAGGGATACCCCTCTAAACGTGTTCATCAAGTGACACAGGAGGTTACCAGCCTTCAGAGCAGAAAAGGGCCTTGTAGAAGGCAGGGGCTATGGAGCAAGTTACTCTACCCTCACCTCAAAACTGGAGCATTATCTACCAATGACAATATAAGGGGGATCCCCAAAATCCCAGAATTTATTTGTAAGAAGCTGTGTATCTTATTCTTTTTTTTTTT